ATGGGGGTGGCCTGGCCAGCCTGGGAGGCGGCAAGGGGGCCATGACGGTGACTTACCTGAGATTGGCCCAACATGGAGTGGATGCTGGGTGGAGAGTGACACTGGACGTGGGGGCACCCGGCGAGGCAGCATGACGAGCTCTTGGTGGGTGTCTGTTCGGCGCCTGGCACAACGCGTCCCTGATCCCCGAAGGGCGCTGCTAGGTCCTGCTGTAACACAGCTGATAACAGATGGCAACGATCATGGTGTAAACAGTAAACTGCCATGCTAAGGCATCCTCCCGCTAAACCACCGCCCCCTGGCACCAAACTGTCGCTGTAACCACATCCAGGGATAACAATCAATTACAAATAATTAGGTTCCTAAATATCAAGCTCTGCCTGTGCCTTAGGCCAGTGGTTCTCCACCTGCAGCCCGCTTGCGGCCAAATCAGCACACAACTGCAGCCCAGGTGACGTCCTCCAGGCCAGACAGGTAGTATATCTATTGTGTGGATGCAGCCCCCATAACACAGGGAGAGCTGCATGTGCAGCCCACAGTGGTAAATAGGCTGAGAACCACTGCCTTAGGCCCTGAGCTTGCAATGAATACGGATGCTCAGCAGGGCCTGCCTACACAGAGCTCATTGCAGGATCAGGTCTTTCTTGCATATCGATGTGATCTTTCTGTTGTGACCCTTGTCCTTCCTGGCCTGCCCTTGTCCATGGTGTTACCGACTTAGGTCCTGCTGCAAAAGAGAACTGTGCAGGTGGACCCCTGCATGCCCACAGAACCCCATTGGCTCCAGTGGGGCTCCGCGCAGGGATCAGCCCATGTAGTTCTCCTTGCAGGATGGTGCTGGATTGCATTTAGGTTGTGCACTCTCCAGAACAGGAGGCACGTCTGTGCTCGCTTTGGGAGCTGCCTAGCGCTTCTCCAGGTGCTTGACGTATAATTAAAAAAAAAATTAGTCATTGTAATGATGCCTTTTAAAACCCATCTCTTGTTTTCTCTCGCAACAATGCCCTGATGTGAGCCTTCAGCAACTGAGATGTCATCTCAAATATTCTTAAACCTGGGTGGGGGCTAGACTGTCACTCTAGATTTCAGGATATTTGCAGCCAGAAAGCTTCGCTTTCTTCAAAACCATCTGGAATCTCAAAGAAAAGAAGATCAGGCTGGTGGGAGGGGGGGGCTGAGCGGGGGGAACTTTCCCTCCATATTTTCAGACATGAAAGTTGCTGTTTTTTAAAAAAGCTTTTCCTTAAATGGACGATGTGGCCCTAGTGGCCATTAGTTGCCTGAAGTGGCCCCGGTTTCCATTTTTCTTGTCATATTTGCACCATGGCTGGTGAAGTATGATGGGGAGGAAGGGGGGAGGGGTTCAGGAAAGACCCGCTTCAGTGGGGCACCAGGGCCGCAGGCCTGCAAGCTGGGGGTCAGGAGGCTGCCAGACAAGCACAGACCTCTCATCTTGCTAACGCCGGCCACTACGCAAGCTCAATACAGACCTCTTTCCTACAACTCCGCCTGCCAGTTACCTTCAATGCTCATGAAAGAGCTGGCAGGCTTTCCCCCCCATGAAGTTACTAAGAACATGGTCAGGGATGAACCTCTGGGTGTGCGTCTGGAGTTAGATTATTAGGTAACGCCGCTCTGGTTGGTTTGTCCATTGTACTGAGACGGGAAAGCACTACACAACCTGTCCTCTGCAACTCCAGATGGTGCTGTCCTGCTGGCTCGGCTCTCAGCTGCCCTGGCTTGCTTTCTCGGATTTCCCCTTCCTTGGTTGTGATGTGAGTCAGTTAAGCCTGAAGATTTAGGAAGAGGAGAAAGCAGACAGACAGCTGTCCTGAGAAGGTAGGTAGAGACCCCTCTCATCAGAGATTTGCTGTGCCATCTGGGTGGGGGGAGATACACGATTCACAGACGCTTAAAGCCTGCAGCCAAGAGCCAGCTGCCTCTGTGAGTCCAGTGCAGCCAGAGGCCAGCTGGGCTTGTTATCATGCCAAGGCTGCAGGGAGGATCAGGGCCCGGGCAGCCTAAATCCTGTGATACTTTGCGCCCCGGCCTTGCAGCGATTCCAGCCCCCTGTGTCTGTGCCCACTTTCACATCTGCTCTTCGGCTTCGGTTGGATTTTAGGTGGTTGGTTCATTCCCGGGCCGAAATCTCCCGAAGGAGCGTGTGTTTGCGTAGAACAGGGGGGCTCCAGCACAGATCACAGACTGGGGGCTAGGGAGAGGGAAAAGACCTAGTGGATCACGGAGTGCCTTGTTCTAGCTGCTTCCCTGGCCCCTGGCCGGGTAGTATGTGAGCCAAAAAAACATTGATGGAGGAAGGGGAGAATGGCCCACCTTTGGTAGATGGGGAAGCATTGGGTAGAGAGGTGAAGAGACTCACCCAAGGTCACCCAGGGAGTCGGTGGCAGAGCTGGGAACGGACCCGCAATCTCCTGAGCCTTCGTCCAGTGGCAGGCCTGCACCGGCGTCTTTCCTTCTGCCCCCTTTGGGCTCGAATTTCTCCCAGCACCCTCGTCTGGTTGTGAAAACCATTTTACCGTCCCCCCGGCCACACATACCACGCAACTCACCCTGAAATGCAGCTTCCTCTGGGGAGGAGGGTGGCAACCCCGCAGCACAACTGTGGGTGGAGGAGGGAGTTTGGGCCAGGGGCCCCAGGAAAGGCCTGCCTCTTACCAGAAGTGCCCCAAGGAATTGTTAAATGCTCCTGCAGATGGGAGCTCAGCTTTTGAGGTCTTGACCAAATGTCGCCTGGGAGGGATGAGGGGACCTTCCAGGACTGACCGTGCTGGGATGCAAAGCTGCGGTTCGGACCCCTCGTTATTCCTTCCAGCCTAATGTAACTTGCCCTGAGGTTTCCCCCTAGCCTCAGCGCTGGGCAGTGACCCACGCACCTAGCCATGGGGCTGGTGTCCCAGCCACCGTCTGTGAAGGGGGCCCATTAGTGTCACTTCAGGGCCCCCGCTGGCCCAAGGAGTAAGGGACCAGGCTCAATGCAGTGGGGTGGCTGAGATGACTTCTGGCGTTCCCTTCCAGCCCTAGGTTTCCAGGGTTCTCTCTCCCCCGGGGCAGTGCAGAGCGCTGAGCACCAGGGAGACTGGGCAGGGCCCAGGAAACCTTGCCAAGCTCCAGCCCATGTGGCATTGCCCAGTTGCCTCGACTTTGAGAAGACGTATTCCTCCAGCTCCAACGTCCCGCTCTTCCGTCCCCAGGAAAGAGACCCCAGATGGGGAAGAGCTGCAAGGTGGTGGTTTGCGGCCAAGCCTCAGTCGGAAAAACATCAATCTTGGAGCAGCTCCTCTATGGGAACCATGTGGTTGGTAAGTGTGGGGGTCGGGCGGGTGACCAGCAAGGGGGCGTCCTGAGCCCCCATCATTCTTCACAGGCTTAATGCCAAACGGCTCTGTGGTGGCTTTTCGTAAAGACCAGCACCCTGACCATAACAAATCAGTGCCTAGCCCAGCTGTTGACGAGAGACCCTACAATAATAAATTAGCACCCACCTCCCAGCATTCCAGAACAAACTCTAGTGGAACTGCCCAGCCCCCTGCAATTAAAATAGACTTGTGTAAGCACGTGATGGAGACAGACAGGGTTGTGCAGTGGCAGGCAGGTTTGGCTGCCAGTGTCCCAGGTGGGGAGAGTACATAGAAAAAAACCTGGGGATGCTGCCTCCAGCAGCTCCCTTCTACAGGCAGTTTGCCCCAGCAGTGCCGCTCTAAACACAGATGCGGGAGACCTGAACGAACAAGGAGCAGAGTACAAGACAGGCCTAGGCAAGGAGCTGCTATTATGTGGTAGTACCTAGGGGCCCCAGGCAAGCTCGGGGCACCCTTGTGCCAGGCTCTGCCCCAAAGAGCTCCCAGTCTGAACAGACCAGACAAAGGCTGGGAGGGGAAACTGAGGCACAGGGCAGGGGCAGGACTTGCCCACGGTCACTCCGCAGGTCAGTGGCCTCCCGACTCCCAGCCCAGTGGACACTGTGAGGGGGCTCCTGCGTCACGGCAGAGCGCAGCCCAGCTCCCCACGTTACCCCACGCCCGTCTGCTTCCCCGCAGGTTCCGAAATGATAGAGACCCAGGAGGACATCTACGTGGGCTCGATCGAGACGGACCGTGGGGTGCGGGAGCAGGTGCGATTCTACGACACCCGGGGCCTGCGGGAGGGCGTGGAGCTCCCCAAGCACTGCTTCTCCGGCACGGACGGCTATGTGCTGGTGTACAGCACCGCCAGCAAGGACTCTTTGAAGAGGGTGGAGCTGCTCAAGAAGGAAATCGACAAGTGCAAGGATAAGAAGGAGGTGAGGCATCGCCACAGGCGCAGAGGAGGTTTTCCACAGGCATCGGAGCGCGGGGCGGGCTGGGAGCGGGGGACGGAGCCTCCTCCCCTACAGCTCCCTAGTCCTGCCCAGCCGGGAGTGCGCTTCCTTCTGGTGGCTTGTCTGTGTCCTGTAGGAAGTGAGTCGGGGGACCCCCTCCCCCCCACCGGCTGCCCTCTTTCTCGGATACTCAGCACAGGGGCCGTGAGCGAACAGGCCATAGAGACTGAGCTGGGGGGGGGGGGGGGGGAGGGGGAGGGGTATTCCAGGGAGGGATGGAGCCAGCTGTGTGTGTGTGGGGTGGCGGCCTCAGGGGAGGTGTTGCATTCTGCTCCTTGGATTTCCCCTTCTCAGCAGAGGCCGTTGGTCTCCAGCGCTGTCAGTCCAGCACCACGTTCAAGGCCGCTCTGCTTTTTCTCCTCTCCTTGCCCTTCCCTTCCCCTCCCCCAGGATTTTTAAATCAGCCAGCAAGGGGCTGAGTTTGCAAGTGCTTGGCCGGTGCTTGCGCTCAGACCCCGATGTTCGTCGCTCTGCAAACCGGGGTTAGAAAGCCAGTCAGACCTCAGGGCACCCGGTGGGCTCAAGGAGGGACTGCTCCTTGCCACCTGCAGCCTTGCACGACCGGCCAGGCCTGCTTGAGCAGATGGGAGGGGACGCTGGCCGTCCGGTGGGGCTGTAGTGTCGGCTGGGGGTGACAGCGGAGGGGGGACACATGGGAGAGATCAGTGATCTGATCCCGTTTAGGAAATCCCAAATCCCCTTATCTCCTCCTCGGAAAGACCCAGGTAGCCTCTGCCCAAGCTCCAGCCACAGGGAACTGGGCAGGACCCTCTGGGGCCCATCAGCTCTGCTGCTCAGCTGGGCGCCTGGGCGGGGGCGAAGGCTGGGCCGGGAGCCCGAGCACAGCAGGGAATCTGGACGGAAGGCGCCAAAGGGAAAGAGACATCACCGGAGAGCCCGCCGTGCTGCGGGTGAAATCTGCAGGAGCCTTGTCCCGGGGCCTGGCCCAGGCTGCAGGGCCAGGCAGCCGGCCCTGAGCGTGCTCCGTTTGCGTGTATTCGTGCAGGTCACCATTGTGGTTCTGGGCAACAAGAGCGACCTGCAGGAGCAGCGGCGCGTGGACCACGACGCGGCCCAGCACTGGGCCAAGGGCGAGAAGGTGAAGCTGTGGGAGGTGTCCGTGGCCGACCGCCGGACGCTGATCGAGCCTTTCACCTACCTGGCCAGCAAGATGACGCAGCCGCAGAGCAAGTCCGGCTTCCCGCTGAGCCGCAAGAACAAGGGCAGCGGCTCCATGGACGGCTGAAGGCCTGGCCTCCCCTCCCCCGCCACCTCGCTCCCATGGCGCATCCACCCTCTCCTGAGCTCTGGGGCGTTGGCACGAAGCCTGCTGATGGGAGGGAGCTCCTGGAGTGGGTGGTGGGGCTCGGCCCCTGGCCACACTAGGCAGCATGGCGAGGACCCAGTGCCAGGGATGGTCACGGGGGGCAGTGAAGACGCCTGGCCCATCCCTGCTGCCTGGAGGGGGAGGGCGGCCTTGGACGGCTGGTCTGAACTCAGGATTCGCCCAGACCGTGCCCCGGGAGTCCTGGCCTGGTCTCTGCTCCCAAACCACAGGCTAGACAAAACTCTCGGCAAACACGCTCCTTGCCTTGGCAGGGGGCTGCGTGGGCAGCAGGAGGCCTGCGAAGGCCTCACCGGCCCAACCTCCATTTGGCCCATTGTAACCCTTGCCCTGAACCTGGAGGGGAGTGTTCCCTCCACCCCAAGATTATGGCACTACCTAGCTCCTTCCTCCCCCCTCCACCTGGGCCGCAGAATGCCCCGGCCTGTCTCCCCGCAGTTCCTCCCTCTAGGCCGGCGCTGGAGCAGGTGCCCAGCTGGAAGGTGGACCCTGAGCTCCCCAGCTGTGGAGCTGGAGCTACAGGCGAGGGGTGAAGGCGTTCATCCTCCAGGCCTCTCTGCCCACCGACAGGCACCTGCAAATCGCCCTCTCTCTGCAGCTGGGGAGGCGGATGGGGGCTCCAGGATTGCTGGGCTCTGCTTCCAGGTGGCTCTTCGCCCCATGCATGCTGCACTCACCTCCCCGGGGGCTGCGTAGCTGCCTCCCTGAAGATCGTGAGGAGCAAGGACTGCCCTGGGTCCCTGCAGAACCTTCACTGTCCCCTGCCCCCCCAGCTCTTTAACTGCCTGAGCTGCAGGGAAATGCACCTGGCCCCTCTGCAGCTGCAGAATCGGCGCTCGGGTGAGGCCAGGCTGAGCAGAGCTCGGGTTTAGGTTCATTAAGCTCATTAGAGCCTCATCAGTGTCCAGCATGTCAGAGATGCCTGCAGGGCAGCCCTGATCCGCTGCCTCTTCCCATGCTGTGATCCCAGGCCGAAGGCCAGGCCAAGCCATGGTGTCGGGGTGGTGCCCCTGCCCCTGATCCCGCTACGGGAGAGCCGAAGACCCCAGCATGTGGAGCTCACTACAGAAGCCTGGGCGGGGGCCAGCCGTTTGCATCGCTCGTTAGGCAGGTGCAGCTCAGCCTCATTGCTGACGAGCAGCGGGCCCCGGGGGGACGCGTTTCTGACCTGCAGCTCTGGGGGGAGGGGTCGGGCTGCAGAGGTGGCCTCAGCAGGCTGTTAAAATTGTCAGTTGGCCAAGAACCAAGGGTTAGTTTTAGATGGTCCCTGAGCTTCTCCTTGGCCAGGAATTTGGGACGGGCGGGAATGTGCTTTGGCTGCTGGGGGGAGGCGGGGTGCATGACTGGGGTCCCTTGGATTAGCCCACCCAGCAGCAGGGCACGTTCCGGTGCTGGGAAGTGAGGCTGGTGGGGTTTTTTTAATGATTGCATGTATGTAATCTCATGTCAGAGGCGTGTAGAGCCGCTTCCTCCTGGTCAGCAATTGCCGTCAATAAACTCAGCTGCTTTCGGAGCGGGTATGCTTTCCTGGGAACACGGCGGGCGGGTGGCGTGGAACACGGCTGGCTGGTGGCGTGGAACACGGCGGGCGGCTGGCGTGGCACTAGACTGGGCCTAGCTCCGGCCGCCTGCGGCTGAGTAGCTCCTGCACCCCGTTACCAAGAACATTTCGTTACTGGTCCAGCCTTCCATGGAAAACCACAGGAAAAGCCTGGGCCGTCCTGAGCCAGCCCACCCTTTGGCTGGGGACGGGGCTGGTTTTCCCCAGCCGCTGGCTACAGGGTGAACGGTCCTTTAGCGATCCGTCGTGGGGGATGCAGTCCTATTTCCACCTCTGCTTCCCGGGGCTCCCGCCTCGCGGGCCCAAAGAAAGATGGCGCGAAAGTCCAGGCGCGTTTATACAGGTTCCTTTTATTTACTGAGTAACACAAGAAAGCAATGAGATTCGATTATCAAAATATTTTCCTTTCCCCCCCTCCAACAGTTATAGTACATCAAAAAATATACACTGAACAGTACAGGGGGCGGTGGGGGGGGGGTACTGGCCAAGTCCCTAGAGGCTGGTTATTTCGTTTCGTTGTCAAAATCAACCATTGTTCACATCACGCCGAGGGTATTTACAGAGGGGCACATGTCAGCGCCGGGGCCTACGACCTACCACAGCCTGTGCGAAGTCAGAGGCGGTAACTGCTTTGGCTAGCGCGGGGGGGCCGGAGGCGAAGGAGACAGCAGGGTGCTCGGACGCCGCCCGGTGCAGGATGGCGTGACGGGAAGGAATGGCTTTCAAGTGTTCTAGTCTATCGGGACCCCACCGCTGGGCTGAGGGTAGGTTTGACTCTGGCTCTGGGGGGCTTTGTGACCCAGCTCAACCTGCAGTGCGACCGGAGTCTCTTTGGGCGGAGGGGGGGGGGGAACCATGGCTAAAGCTTTGTGCTTCCTGAATTCCTAAAACTACCACGGCACAAGCCCCTGGGAGGAGAACGGAGCTGGAGCAGGATGCGGGGGGGAAAGGGAGCGAACCCAACCAGAGGCCGACGGAGGAGAGGCTGCTGCGGGGCTGGACGGCTGAGCCCCAGGCTACCCGGGGGCTGATGGCAGTAGGGGATGACTGGCATCGCACAGAGGTGTCCGGATCCCCCCCTTGCCCCATCTAAAGCTTCGTGAGGGGACGGTTTACCCAGTGGCAGCTCCCACTACCAGCCCCTACCCCCCCGATGGGACTTACGAAAGGCGCTCCTGTGATCTGGAGGGTCTATCCCCCACACTTCGTTCCCTTGTGGACGCCTAGCGGAGGATTCGCCCACCCTGAGGCCGTAAGGGACGGAGCTGGTCCCCTCCAGCTGGCTGGCGCTGGGGTTATTGCAAAGCTCCGTAAACCCAAATCTTGGACAAAAAAGAACCCCCAAGGTTTCACCTTCAGGTGCCCAGAAAAACTGGCATCAAAATGTCGCCCCTCCCCCCAGCCCAGGGGCTGGATCCCCCAGTGCTCAGGCCCAGGCCTGACTCTTTGGTTTACCCCCAGGCAGGCCTGCACCAGCTCCACGCACTCCCAAGGGGGAAGGGGGAGAACAGTCTCCCTGGTATATCCCCCCCGCAGCGCGCTCCTGTAATACGCTGTCCGAGCACTTAGGGCCAGCCCACTAGAGGGGGCTGTGCTATAGGGGATAACAACCCACTACTACTGCCAACTCGAATGGTAGGGAGTGCCGGCCCCAGCTCACCCCCCATTGGTGACCACGCAAAGGGGGAGGGGGTTGTGGGACAGCACTATCAGGCCATGCGCTGGGCTCCAGCTGAGCGGAGAGCTATAACCGGCCCGTTTCTGTGGATCGGGGACATGTAACACACAGCCCCCAGGGACTGCCCCTGAGCGCTGGGGAAGTGACGATCTCGCAGCCCCCCGGTGTTTGGAAACCGTGTTCAGCCTCCAGTGGTTGTGGGGGCGGCAGGATCCTCCCTGTGCTGCCCAAACGCCTCCTGAAACACAGCTGGTGCGTTCAAGTGAAGACACCTGACAGGTGTGCTTGTGCGTGGGGATTGCTGGCTGCCCAGCTCCGAGGGCAGCCTCCGCTGGGGGCTCAGAGCCTGTGCCGTGGGGAGCAGCGGAGAGCTCACGGGACCAGGGGGCTCTCGGAAGCGTGTGCACGATGCACCGAGGTGCATGGTTCAGTTTCTGCTCCGAACAACGTTCCTCGCTGGACAGAAAGAGCGGGCACCGCCGCAGGACGCAGCCAGGTTACCACAACGACGGGGCTCCTCCGTTCGGATTTGCATAGATCGGGACGGGTTGTCACTCCGGCACAAGGTCCATGTGTGTCGCAACCTTCCTGCATATTTCTATGTACAGTGCGCGCTGGGGAGCCCGTAGCGCCTCGGTAACTGTTCAGACCAGGTCATCGCGCCGGCTTTTAACACAGTGAAAAACAAAACCATCGCCCCCATAATGCCTAGCACGGGCCCTGGAGCCCCACAGTCTGCAAGCTGCACTCAGAGCATGGGAGGGACAACGTCACGTGCTTGTTAAACGAACCTGCTCTTTTATTCTGGGCTGTCAAGCTGAACTAACAGGGAATCCCCCCAGTTTCCTTGGAAGCTCCAAGTTTCAACGGGGCTGGGTGACTGGGGTTTGGCTGCTGGCCTGTTAACAGGAGGAATGCTTTGCAGCTCTCCAAGGAAAGGCGCTACGCAAGGACAAAGTGCTTTATGAATCTTCACTCAGCCTCCCTGCGAGGTAGGGTCAGAGCTATCCCCTGCTTAATGGGGGGAAACTGAGGCACTAAGAGGTGAAGCACCGTGGTGCAAGGGAGTGAATGGCAGAGTTGGGAATAGACGCCAAGGAGAAGGGCCGTTCTCTAGCCAGTCGACTCCAGGCCTTAGCTGAACTGGGAATGGAACCCAGGTGTCCTGACTCCCTACGTCCTATTCTCCTGCCATAGGCTCACACCCTGTCCCAGGTCTGGGAGGAGAATCCTGTTGTCTAACCACTAGATCCGTGGTTTTCAACCTGTGGTCCACGGCCCCCTGGGGATCCTCAGACTATATCTGATTTCCAAAGGGGCCCGCCAATGAAGAAAGGTTGAAAACCACTGCTCTAGACAACACTCCGATCCCATTTGCCTGGTCCTCCGCTGCACTTCCAGTGTTGGACGATAATGTGCTCTCTGAAGTGAGCAGGAAAGAGGTCTCTGCTGGCAAGGAGCCTCGGGGTTCACTGTTTGTTCTATGGGAAGACGCTGCCCCCGTTTGCCGGTGTCTCCTCTGGATTTCCTGCTGCTGAAAGGGCCCAGACTAGAGGAGCTGGAGAGTAACGCTCTCCCTGCATCCTCAGCTCCGGGATGGGTCAGGCAGTCGGCAGGGCAATCTTCCACCACGCTGCTCTCTGCCCACGTGCCTCATGTCCCATGCAGGGCTTAGGCTACGGGTGGGAAACCGGGGGGTGGATTTTGTGCTGGGGAGGTTTTTCCCACTGGAAACTGGCCTGAGATCCACCACGGACTCCTTCCAGCAGGACCTATGATGTGGGGGTCGCCCCGAACCTGGGCTGGCTCTGAACCAGCCAGCCTGAGACAAGGGCCTTCCCTTTCCAGAGAGTCAGCCAGGCCCCTTCCCTGGTTTGGTTTAAATTAATCACTGGGAAGGGGATGAATGAAAAACTCACTAGCCAAAGAGGGGCACCCGCTGGCCACAGGCATCAATGGGCCTGGGGGATCCCGGCACTGTCCCTTTGACTGAATCCACTCAAAGTGGACATGGAGCTGTGTTTTCGGAGAGCGACTGAGTGAGTGGGCGGCAGAACCGACTGGGGCACTGGGTGTGGGTAACGGGGGGTACAGCCAGGCCTGGCAGAGCAGTCAGCTGGGGAATCTCCTAGCCCAGTGGGAGGGAAAGAAAAAACCTCGGTCAACGGTTACAAAGGATCGTTTGCCCCATGGGAACAGAGCCCTGTCCTGCTGCACAGCTCGCCGGCTCTTCGTTGCGTCCGGGAGAGACGGAGCCTTGGCGGGCGTGGGCTCTAGTAGGGCGCGAAGACGATGGGGCCAGGCGTGGCGCGGACGTGCCCGGGCGGGGTTCGGAAGAGCGCTGGTCCAAGGAGCGGGGCCTGGAAGAGGGCTGTGGCGGTGGCTGGTCTGAGGGTGAGTGGGCCAGGCATGGCGCACATGGCTGCCGTGGTGAGGGGGCTCGGGAGGAAGCGGGTAGCCAAGGTTTTGGTGAGGTGCTTCTGCAAAGCCAGCTTGGACTGTAGGGGGAGAAAGAGAGAGAGAGAGAGAGAGAGAGAGAGAGAGCGAGACAAAGCACATGAACCACCAGGCTGCAGAAGATATCCTGGCACTGCCGGCTCTGCAGGGAGTGGAGCAGCCAGCCCTGGGCTCAGGGTTAGTCTGGTAACAGGCATGTGGGCGCGGAGCCTAGGATCAATAGAGTCACCCAGTTTCTATTTCATAGGAACTGCCCCAGGGGATCAGACCAAGGACCCTTCTAGTCCAGAACTTGCAGCTTCAGAGGAATCCAGATAGGCTCCTGACCTCAATGATATCATGTGGACATGAGTTCCACAGGCCAGTCATTCGTTGTATGTCGGAGGGGGGCATATTACCAGGTCTCAGTTTTGAATCTTCTGGCTTTCAATGGAGATATACCTATCTCATAGAGCTGGAAGGGACCCCGAAAGGTCATCGAGTCCAGCCCCCCACTAGCAGGACCAAGTATTGATTTTGCCCCAGATCCCTAAGTGGCCCCCTCAAGGATTGAACTCACAACCCTGGGTTTAGCAGGCCAATGCTCAAACCACTGAGCGATCCCTCCCCCGTACTGAGCTATCCCTCACGTGCAGCGAGGTTGACAGTTGCTAGCCAGAGGCCTTTCTCACAGATCTACTCTAGCTTCCCTTTGCAGTTCATGGCAAGGACCCTTGGGTGGTGCTGTCGGCCTGGGCTATACAGGTCAGACTATTACACAAGCCTAATTGTTCCCTCTGGCCTTAAAGCCCTATCAGTCTAGGTAGCTCTTTCCTTTAACACTGAGCTGGGAATCCATCGGGTCAAGGAGCCGCCAGTATCAGGTTTGTCCTTGAAAGGACTCGACATCTGGCCGCAGGAGACCTCTGAAAGCATTTTCATCCCGTCTCCCTGCACAGGCAGGATACGGCTGATCGGGGAGACAAAGAAACTCCGTAGCATGCTTGGCACCCTCGGAAGATGCTGAGAATTCTTCCAGGACCTCAGTGACACTCCTGGTGTGCTGCAGTTCAAGTGTCCCCGTCTCTGTTTCCAGCCAGGGGTCGGCAAGCACTTGGAACAGCTCCTCTCCCCCCTCAGGCCCCGTCTGCCCACCAAAGCAACCCTTCTAAAGCCATTTGTCAAGCACTGATCGGGTGGCGGCTCCCAGGGCAGACAGGCCAGGACTGGTCTTAAAGCAGCTAATCAGCTGGGGGGCGGGGGGAGGAGAGGGCTCGAGAATGGCTCTGTACAAAAATATTAGTAAGTCTCGGCCGTGTTAGCGGCACCCTTTTCTGTATACGGCATCAGAGCACAGCACCAATGAGCCAGGGAGCCTGGGGCTGAACCTACCTGAGAAATGACCATCAAAGCATCCCCACCAGGATCAGAGCCATCCCGCCTTTCCACGGAGCAAACGCCAGCACATTCCCAGCCACTAGAAGCCCCACGCAGAAAATCCCAAGGCGGCCTCTGTTCAAGTCCCACAGCGGGAAATGATCCAGGGGAGCCCTGAACTGAAACCCTCCCCTGACCTGCCTCAGGATCAGGTCAGCTCCATTTCCCCTCCTGGGACAGGAAGCAGAAAACGAGGCCCAGCATTGCCGATCGTTACCGCTATGTCGCTGGGCCAGGACTAGCCACTGCTGCGCTGCAGAGCAGACTCGCGTCTCTGCGAACGAACCCTGGAACTTGGCATGAGCTGAACAAAAAAAACTGCCAACCCCGAGCATTTAAAAATCACGAGTCAGCCCCCCTAGAAACCCTGGGATTCAGGTAAAAATCATCGTCTTTTAAAAATAAAAAACACGGAGTTGTTCTTCTTTCCTTTGTGGTGTCAGAGACTGTAAGGGTCTCGCTTCCAAGCTTCCCTCCACATTCATGAGGGTTAGAAACTCCTTGTTTTGTTCAATGAAAGCTGAGATCCTGACATAATCACAGGACTCCTGGAGCTGGGGCTTTGAAAACGGAAACCACCACATCTTGTGGGCCTCGCGATAAAATCCCATGAGCTGACAAACAGTGTGAGCAACATTTCAGACAGGCACCGTGGCCGGAGGGCTTCTGGGAGACAGATACCTTTAGAATACTCACTGCGAGGACAGCGTTCTTCTGGAGTTTGTTGTATGGGCTGTATTTTGGCTTGGGTGGCTTCCCAGCAAGCCTGTCTCTGTGTCTCCTGCTGCTCACGTGCTGCAGATGGAAAACGCAGCGTCACACACAGGTATAACACGTTGACAGTAAACAACCCCACTGCCTGCGAAGTGACCCCGCAAAGCCATGCTCTCTGCCTGGGAGTTCAGCTCGCTCTCGGTAATTACCAAATGCAGCCTTTGCGTCAGGCTCTAGGGTTCTGGGATTTGCATGTATATATAATGATGGTCCTTGTTTGATCATCAGCAGGAACTGAACTCAAGACCTCTGGTGCGAAGAGCATCAGTCGCTACTGGCTGAGCTACACAATCAAGTCCCTTAGCTTGCAGCCAGTAGCAAATATACATGCAAATATTGTAAAGCTCTGTGCATGGTCTAGTCACCAGCAGGGGCGGCTCTATGTATTTTGCCACCCCAAGCATTGCAGTGAGGCAGCCTTCAGCGGCGCGCCTGCGGGAGCTCCGCTGATAATGTAGATTCGGCGGCATGCCTGCGGGAGGTCCGCCGGTCCCGCACCTTCGGCGTACCCGCCGCCGAATTGCCGCCGAAACCGCGGGACTGGCGGACCTCCCGCAGGCGCGCCGCCGAAGGCTGCCTGACTGCCACTCTCACGGCGACCGGCAGGCCGGCCCCCATGGCTTGCCGTCCCAGACATGCGCATGGTGCGCTGGTGCCTGGAGCCGCCCCTGGTCACTAGAGGCAAAGAGACTGTTAGCATGGGGCGTTCGTGTTACGCGGAAGAACCCTGCTCCCAGGATGACCTTTCTCAATACCTTGGGCCCTGGTTTACTCACCCTGCAGTTTTTTCCTGAACAAGGTGCTACTGAATAGACATAAATTGACTTATCTGGAGCTGTGCCAGGCATCCATTTCAGTCCATCGTCTGATCCAGGCAACTATCCAGCACCTAACCCCCAGCCACCCCGCCCCTCCACGCCGGGTCAGCTGGCTCTGCAAACCTCATGAAAACAGCAAGTATTGTTCTCTTCCCCTGGAGGGGAGAAGCAATTGGGCCCAGGCAAAGGGATTCGTAACCCCCCCATTGCACCACAGAGCTGCGCTTTGCAAGGTGCCATCTGCAGCAGGGTTTTTCTGGAGGATCTGGGATTGCATGCGACCCCCTAAGGATGTTTTGGGGGGCTGTGGGGCAGGATCCTCCCCACCCCCTGGCACACATGAAAACCTCACATGCTTGGGTTCTGAGACTGCCCCGTGCCCCTGCCCGCCGAGGAGAGAGGCCGAGGAGAAAGGCACAGTGGGAGAGCTGGAGGCATCACCTGTTTGAGCTGGGTCTCCGAGTTGACGTAGATTTCGCACACTTGGCAATGGAACGCCTTGTTCTGGATGTTGATGCTGCCCTTGTTGCCAATTCTTTTGGACTTGTGCCCTGCCCTGGGGATGACCTTGCCCCGGCCCCGCCGCATCTGGGTGGTCTGACCCTCCAGCATAGACTTGTGCTTGGCCCCTGGACAGCAGAGGGAAAACGACAGACCCTCAGCAAAGGGACCACGTGGCCCGCGTTCGGGTTAAGACACCGTTGAAAAATGCAAGCTCTGGGGTGAGCATCCGTTGCTCCGGAGGAGGCACAAGACGCATTTGAAAATATTGCCGTTTGCGGTGTTACTCATGTAACGACTCTCCCCGCCCCACACCCCTTCCTTGTACGGACTGGGGAGCACAGACCCGCTGCCTGAGCTAAAGACGAACTCCCCTTGCTGGTAGGCGTGGCAGGCTGTTCTCCTCTATGGACCCAATTCTAGAGGGGGACGCCAGACTCTTTGCCAGGGTGTCATACAGCAGGGGAGCGCTGGAACACAACTACCGGATGTGCCGTACTCCACTGTTCTGGCTCCCCCAGAAGTGCCAGAACGGCCTCCCGGAGCGTTGCGGTAGGACGCGAGCTCTGGCGTTACATTAGCGCCATCTCCTATGGTTAAGTTCACCAATCGCAGGGGTTTTCCACCCGTTCGGGAGCTGTTATTTCTGGTCTGCTCATTGTTCAGATTCAGTTTCCTGCGTCTAGTCACTTTCTGGCAGGCAGCTGGCAGTGTCTGTCAATACGACTTGCGTTCTAGCAGCAGGTACCGGCCCCGGACGACACTGGGGCCCCAATACACATAGTGAGACACGGCCCTTGGCTTGAAGAGTTTACAGTCTAAATAATCACGACAGACACGGGGTGGGAGGGGAAACCGAGGCACGGAGCAGGGAAGGGGCTTGTGCAAGGTCACACCACGGGCCGGTGTCTGAGCCAGGATAGGAGTTGGGTTTCCTCACTCTGAGCCCAGTGGCTCCCAGCACTTAGCTGGCGGCCGCCAGGGAAAGCACAAACAATCCCTGTTCCCAGAGCTCGGACGTTTCCCCCTTAACGAGAAATCCACCCATTAGACATCACCCATGAGGAGAGCTTCAGAGCAAGCTAGTAAAACAGAGCCAAAGCCCAGAATCGCACCAGACTCCGAACCTCCCATGTGACGTTCCACGGCTAAGCTCGGAGTAAAACCTCTAGGGCCAGTTTATAACCCCTGACAGCAGACGAGTCTGAACTGGAATTGCTGGAAGATCTGGCTCTAATGAAGGTCTAGGAGCCAGAGGAAACTGTCTCTTGGGCTCTCCGACCTGTACAAGGGCATCTCTCTGCCCGCTGGTGCCCAGCATGTGGTGTCCGAGTCCCTCTGAGCAGAGGTCATTTCTGGGATCTCTCGCCCCCGCAGGCTGTCGGGCGGTCACAGCGCTGGCTAGCTCAGCATTCCTTCCTGGGCCCAATCTCTGAGCCACTAGGCGAAGCTCTCGCCTCCTCCTGGGGCTCAGGTTCCGGACCGAAGCGCTGAGCCGGCTTTGACCTTGGGCACGTGTAATACGAGAAACCAGGGCTGGCTTCGAAGGGGACGATTCCGGGCCCCGAAGAGACTGGGTCTCTGCTGCGTGTCCTTTGCGTGACGTCCGCCAGCCTGCGGTTTGAGCTCTCCCTCGCGCTGGACGTGGGCTGGGAGGAAGGGACTTGCCTTGGAGCAGGGCTGCACTGGCCTTCAGACACTGCACGCTGCAGGTTTTACATAAACCAGCAGGAGATCTGCCAAGAGCTGGCGGAACTAAAACACCAGAGCCGATGGGGGCAGTGAGCCAAGCTCAGCAATGCTCCCAGAGGAATGCAAGAGCTACACAGAGTGATTCCCAACTCTGGCTAGTTCCATCGGCTCCTACTGGCTCGGCCTGTGACTCCCAGCTGCAGCACGGCCCCGGCGCAGGCAACCCCTGTCTCTTGTCAGCCTGGCGAGAAAACGGCTCTTTTGGCTGACCCGGGACAGCTGCCACCTACTGAGCAACGGGACCTGGCTTCAAGGAGACGAGGCCTGCGCATGCAGAAAGCACAGGTCTGGCCCCAGAACGGGCTGTGCTGGCTGGACATGCTCAGTAGCATCAACACCGCCACCTAGCTCTTCGGTCGAGCCCTTCCCCCACAGAGCTCAAAGCACTTTACCGAAAAGGGCAGGAACATTACCCCATTTTATGGGTGGGGAAACTGAGGCACAGAGCAGGCCTTGTCCAAGGTCAGAGTCAGGAACAACTCTATCCAAATACCCTCACCACTGGGCCACCTGCCTCTTTGCAGGCCGTGATTTCTCTTCCAGAATGACTTCTCAGCAGATCCTGCACATTCTGCGTCTCACCCGGCAGCTTTTTCCCCTTCCCCTACGTTTCTATAGTTCCAGAGAGGAAACCCTCGACCGGGGCATTTTATTTATTGCTAAAGCAGCAAAAACTGACTCGACTGAAGGGCTCGCTGGCTTGCTCTCAAGACCTTCCCTACGTGGTTTCCGAAGCCTTGGAGGCTTTAAACGTTCCGCTCAGTCCAGCTCGCTGCCAGAGAACGTCCCTCCGCAAAGAGCTTTGGCTCGTTCAAGCATTTACTAGGGCACATCGCTGAGTGTGTAGCATGAACTGTGGTCTAGGGAGGTACACGGAAGTGGCTGTCGGTACCTGGCAGATGAGCAATGCCCAAGGTCACAGAGTAGGTCAGTGGCAGAATCGGGGATAGAGCCCAGGAGTCCTGACTCCCTTTCCCCTGCTTTCTCTAAGCACTCTGCACACCCCACTCAGAGCTGGGAAGAGAACCCAGGAATCCTAGCTTCTAGTTTCCCCTTCTCAACCCCCTGTACAGACCATGTTCAGCCATCTGGAGTGGGGTAAACCTTAGGGAATGTGAACCCTTTCAGAAAACCATTCTGGTGGGTGTACAACAAACCCCCCACAGACAGCAAAGCAACTCCCCACCTGTTTTATTGTTAAGCTTTTAGCTAGGAACCTGAGGCTCCACTGACTCTATGCCCAGCTTCTGTGCTGTAGCAGTGAAAAAACAATTTTGCTTGTTTGTTGCTTCTTTCCCCTCAAATCAGCTCCTACATTTGTAACCCAAGCTGACAAAAGCAAAAGGACATGTCTGCCGCTAAGCCTGAGCCGCTGTCCTCAGCTGACCTTCCGGCTCCTGAGTGCTGCAATGGCACAGTCTGCCTCGGGAACAGCCCGGCCGAGTTTCAGGGGGTTCGCTGGGCCGGGCGATTGAATTTCCAGCTGTCACTGAATTTGGGGGCCCCTCTCTTTTAAACCCGGGTGTAGTTCTTTGTTTTTTTCTATTTCCTTTGCAGGGTGGTTGTTTCTAAGCATCACATGCATGGAGCTGCAGAGGATTCAAAAGCCACTAGGTGTCCCCAGTGCTGCGGATGAGTGCGGCTTTGAAGGATCAAACCAAAACTCGCTAGCTACCCACATAAATCTGATCTTATTCCGCTTTCTTTTCCAACCCCAAGTAATTCTAGAGCTTAGCAGGGTCACCGACGGCAGACCCCGAACTAACAGCACAGCTAGGTGTGTTGCCACTCTTCTGCATTCAGCAAGAGGCTAATTTTTCATATGCCAACTGGAAAGCTGCATGCATAATGCTGTGTGTGTCTATCTACAGCTCTCAGCCTCCTACAGACGGGAGGAGAAAGGAAAATTATAACAGGGCTTATTTTTCACATTCAAATTGCTTTACAGGCGTTAACTAATTACTGCTCCCAGCCCCCGACCTGTGCCCCAGGTGGGTGATAATTGGTCCTAAATTGAAGCACAAGAAGCTTTTGCTAACGTTGGAGTCATGCTTCTTCCACAGGCAATGTTTTATTATTATCTGCATTACTGTTGCCCGCGGAGCCCAGGCATGGGCCAGCGCTCCATTGCACTGGGGTGGGACAAACACAGAACCGAAAGCTTGTCCCTGCCCCCCAGAATGTACAATCTTCCCCAGCTTCACAGAGCAGTCGTTTATTCTGATGTGCACAATTTGCAACCACAAAAATGTGAGCAAGTGTCTGGTTTGGGTGGGGGAGGGGAGGAAATCGGGGGGGGGGGGGTTCAAAAGCCCCTCCTAGACTTAGGAGCCAAAGTTCTATTTTCGAAAGTGGCTTAGACACTTCGGAGCCCAAGTCACTTCGGAAAATTAGCGTAAAGGAAAACGACTCTGGGGTATCAAGTACCCTCCAATCACTTGATTAAACGTATCTGAAAATGTCTTTAATTAAGCGACGTGAACAACAGGAGAGAGTTCGACCTTGCTAAAATCCACCCCTGAAGGCATGAGCTAGATATACCAACACCACTATTTGAAAAGCACCTTAATTTACCCCTTCTAATTAAAGCAACATTCATTACCCCTCACAATTCCCCTGCAAGGTTTGCATGGCTCTATTTGTACAGTTTACAGCTGAGTCACAGAGGTAAATGACTTGCTTGAGGTCACACTGCCTGTCAGTGGCAGAATCAAGTAAAGAACCTAGGAGTGCTGGTTCTCAGAACCCCCCGGTCCAATCACTAGACCACATTCCCCTCCCAGAGCCAGGCATAGAACCCAGGAGTCCTAGCTCTCAGACCCCCTTGTTCTAATCATT